ATGTGTTTTCAAAAATAATCTTTCTTAATCATGTATAGAAAAAATTAGAAGTAAAAAAAATTAAAAAAAAACCTAGAAAGAACTACACAACTGGAGGTGCAAAATGTCTTTACAACCTCTTGGGTCCCTGTCCAGTTGATTCTTCCTTCTGACCTTAAGTCTATGAGGGGGAACATGATAAAAGTGGCATGTCATTGGATTTTTGTCAGTTTATTTTAAATCCCAAAGACCTGCTAATTCTGCTTCACAGATGTAGTTGAGTACTTTTCCTGGCTGGTCAGGACACAAAAAGAATGGCAGTGAGGGCTGTCCATGTCATACTTTTTCTTTTTTCTCACATTTTCTCACATTTGCTAGGCAGGTGAGCCACAACCCCAGCCCCACACTACTTTAAATAGTAATCCGTCTGGCTAACAACTAGATCTTCATAAAGATTATAAACTAAGTAGATACTCTCTGTACTACAAACGTGAACACATATTTAACACCAAGCAGTACTAACTATTTTTTGCATTTGGTAATAGTACACAAGAGGCAGTGTTAGGAAAAGGAAGAACTATGCATATTTAAAACAAAAATATCAACAGGCAGTTCTAGTGACATAAGCTTGCACGGTCTACTCAGCAGCAGTGGGTGCACACTGGCCTCTCACAGGGATTTTTCTACAGAATAGTCTGGCATGGGTGGGCACATACTCTATGACCCTCCTTTCTTTGGTGACATACAGAAACTCTAAATTGTGAATTTATCTTTACACTTAAATGAAATGGTAGGCACAAACATCCTTTTCAGAAAATCCTTTGCTAGCTCCCTGTTGTTTATAGCATAAAATCCAAACTACCTGCCTCCAGGGTGTTACCCTGAGGGCTACTTGTGCACTAGACCACTAGCCAGCCTAGTGCACTAGGTGCCAGTCATTGCCTGTATTCAATCAGAACACCACACCTGGGCTCAAGCCTGGAATGTCACACTCTCAAAAGCCTGCTCACCTTCTAAATCCCAACTCAAAATAGGTTGGCCCACTCCAGTACAGCCTGCCCTTAATCTAGGTACATCAAGATATCCACTTCTGCCAGGTGCTGGTGGCTCATGCCTGCAATCCTAATTGCTCAGGAGGCAGATATCAGGAGGATCTTGGTTCAAAGCCAGCCTGGGCAAACAGTTTGCAAGACACTATCTCAAAAAACCCCATCATAAAAAAGGGCTGGTGGAGTGGCTCAAGGTGTAGGTCCTGAGCTCAAACCTCAGTACTGCCAAAAAAAAAAAAAAAATAGCCACTTCTTTCAGCATCTCCCATAGCATCTCATCACATATCAAACTACATCGCATTTATTTGCATCTCTAATTTGTCTATCCTTGAATGTAGTAGTCCTCTCCCTTCATTAGCATACCCAGCAAGCTCCTAGTACCATGATTAACTAGTAAGTATGATTGCTTAATAAAACTCTGTTGAATAAATGAATATCCACAAAAAACTTTGGCTCCAAAATTGTACAAAAATCAGCATCTCAACAATTTCCAATGGCCTCCTTTCTTCTGACTGTGCATCCTTTTCAGTCCCTCTGTAATGGTGACTGTTACGGTCCATTCTCCTGGAAGCCTTCTATCCTCTGGCTTCCAGGAGACTACCCTCCTTATTCCTCACACTCACAGCATGGCTCAGAATCCTCCCTGCCCCTTCCACTGTCAGTACTGCATGGTCCTCTTGACTTCTCTTCCACATTTTGTCCTTGGCCATCTCGTCTTCCTTGTTGGCTTACTTGTGCCCTCCAGAGTGGTACCATGTGAAGAACAGCAACCTTTGGAAAGGTCAGACATGACCCTGGAATTTGTTTCTAGTCTTGTGCTTTTACATACATGGGCCTTAATCAATTTGATACCATTTAATAACTTTGGATCTCAATTTTCTCCTTATGGAAGGAGAGTGTGAACTAAGTTCTTTCAGCAATGATACTCTGTATACCTTCTTCAAGAAATTATAAATAGTCAGGCATGGTGGTACATGCCTATAATCCCAACACTTAGTAGGCTGAGGCAAGAGAAGAGGGTCAAGTTCGAGGCTTGCCTGGGCTACACAGTGAGACCTCACCTCAAAAAAAAACTATGAACAGTCCAACAGCTTTCTAAATTGAAGCTATATAATTCTTTTCACATAATTTTAATTTCCAATCTTAAGAATACACCAGGATAAAAAATAATTCCAACATATGAAAGCTAGTTTTCTCATTGTGAGGCTTGACTGCCAAGGACAATCATTCATCCTGATCTCAGTACATTTACTAAGTATGAAGTTAGCTGCTAGTCTTCAACTTCAGACCGTTCACATGTGAAAACACAGCCAGAAAACAGAAAGGTGAATCCACAGAAAAGCACCCTAACCATCACCTCTTAGTGATTTTCCCAATGCATCCTGCAATACAAAGCATTAAAATATGCGACATTTAAGATTTAAATCAGAAGAACTGTCAAAGTATCAAACAATTCCATTGCAAAGGCCCCACATAAAGTTACATGAAACAGAGCTCTGTTTGGCAGCACACATACTAAAACTGGAACAATACAGAAATTAGCATGGTCTCTAATCAAGGATGACATGCAATTCATGAAACATTCCACATTTTATTTTTTTAAAGTTATGAAATAAAAAATAGTAATTCACACAGAGTTTACAACTTCCCATGCCAAATTTATTTAATTGGCATTACAGTATTATTCAACAAGACTTACAGGCACATTTCAGTCCACATAACACAACATGAATAGAAGTCAAAATCAGAGAGGTGAAATGTGCCTACAAGTAACATTAGGTTCTCATTGTCAAGTTTAAAAGTCACTCCAGATGTATTAACTACTTAAATCTTTGCATCATACTTCAAATAGTCTGCGAAAGAGCTGCACAGGCTATAAATAGCTTTGCTTCTCTGCTTTAAAATGTGGTATTCAAGGACAGATTAAGTTATGACTCTTGAAAAGTCTTGATCCGTTTTTCAGATGTTCTTGTGATGTCTCCCAGCTTGCTCACTTCGAAGCCTCCCACGTTGTCCTAAGGTTAGATACTCTCAGTATCCTGGGGATCCAAACATCTAACTGGGAATATCTGACTTTAAAATGTGGTACTGTTCTGAAAATAGTAGATGTGAAACAGCTTTCACATAAAGCTGTACTGTAAGGTTTTTTAAATTTCTTATCATCTTCTAACTAAATGAGATACCCTAAGGAAAGTTCAACAGCCACTATGTCAGGTTTATCCATGCCACAAAAGAACACTCCACTAAGGCTGATGACAACATGAAGTACTCATGGGTTTAAACGAAGAGTCCCCCGCCCTGAACATACAAAATAATCCAACAGATAATATTATTAATATTGCTATAAATGTGTTAACATTACTATTATTAACTCAGCTTCTCATATTCCATGCAAATGGTTTGAGCCTACTTCTAGTTCAATAGGAATGATATTTTATTTCTTCATTTAACAAATTTAATTCAAAATTCAATTTACTTACTTTTTTTAAGCCAGCAAAACCTTCTGATTCCAGAAAGAAAAAGGCAAAGGGCATCAACACAAATAAACAAAGGTTGGAAAAGAGAGAAGCAAGATTCCACAAACCTATAAAAAGAATAACAAAAAAGAAGAAAATCAGGTAGATACTGATAGGTCTTTCAAAGTTCAATAAATTGATGTTAATCAAAATCTGTATTTTAATAATAAAAGTAAACATATACTTAAAATAATAACTTAGAAATCAGAAAATAATTATGTATTCATTTTAAATGATTTTTCACTTTGCAATTCGTACCTATTGGGAAAAACCAATATTGAAACTAGTTACTTTTTCCTCACACCCTAAAATAAATTAAATACATGACATATGTAAAAATGAAAAGACTCAGCTCTTTAGACATATGGGCACAGGAATATTTAAATTAGAGCCACTAACATTTAATGACTACTTAATAAATGCCAGACACTCCACTAAGCATTTACATGCATAATCTCATTTCACTTAAGCCTCATGTAAAAACTAAAAATCATAACTAGCATTTCCTGGCCCTGTATGCCAAGCACCACTCTCGTGATTTACAGATCTTCCATGAACTCATTTACTCATCACAGACGTCCCTGAGGCAGGCAGCACTGCTGACCCCACAGCACTGGCGTGCAGGCTGGTTGTCAGTTGCTACGGCTCTAGAGCATATGAGTGGCAGAGCGGACTCTATGCTTGGGATCTTTAAAACCACTGCCTCACAGAAGTTCTAGTAAACAATTCCAAGTGGAAAAGAAAAGTAAGGAAGTCAGGAGAGCTTCCGTGTGCATGCTGAGCTCCTTCTGTGCTCCTTTATAATTCACAGTAAATGGCAACTAAAGTAAGAATAGATTTAGAGAAAGAGTTTTAGGTATGTCACTGGCAAAATATTTGACCCAACACCCCCCTTTGTTTTACATTAAAATTTTAAATTGAGTTTCAAAATGATGATTATAATCTTTATAAAAGTTGACAGAATCAAGAATCAAAGATAAAGATATGCTATGTATAAATTCAGGACATTGCATGCAATTATACTTGGGTATTTCACACTTTTATTTACAGGCAATATTCAGAGTACCAGACACGGTGATGAACGAACAGCACCTCTGCTCACAGCACTTGTGTTTCAGACACATGGGGACAACACATGTGTTCTCAGTGAACAGTGAGCCAAAGCAAACTATTCCCCAACTACTTTGGGTACAAATTAATTTGCAGGTTTTATAACTGCTCTGATCATTTTGGAAACATGTGAAGCATAAGCAAATAACTGAGCACTCACATAGCTTATCTAAAGAGATTCATTTCTTTTAGTAGATGAGGCAATTAACAACATCAATTTATAGTTTCTTATCCAAAGCCTAGATAGCTTTAATTAATTTATGATATACATGTACCTTTGTGAGAAAAGTTTTACATTTTTTAGAAGACAATGTGAAAAAACTAATTTGAGCTTTCTAAAGTAAAAGATGTTCTAAAATACTTTTATACTTTCTGTCCTTTAAAAAAAAAAAAAAGAGCCAAAGCCAGGCACACTGGTACACAATTATAGTCCCAGCTACTCATGAGCCTGGGACAGGAGGATTACTTGAGATTACAAGTTCAAGACCAATCTGGACAATATACTGAGTTTCTGTATCAAAACAAACAAAAAAAACTCAAACATTTTAATCCTCGTGTTTATAGATAATTAGTCATTATTTTATTGTGCTAACAACCAGGAAAGGCACACAGTATGATGGCTAAATGCACACACTTGAGTTTCAGAGACTTGGTTCCTGTCCAGTCTGCACTTCCATTTGACAATCTTGTTATGTCACAGCTTCTTCATCTATAAATCAGGCTTAATGTCTATAGCTGCTGTTAAGTATCAAGTGAATAACGCCCATCACAAGATAAGTATTTAATGATTCTCTGCTTTTATTAATGGTTACTTCACTAGAGGAGGCTGCTATACTATGCCATTAGTTCCCGTACTGCTAACCTTTGACTCCAGAGGCTCACTTTCATCTCCCTTTTTGCCAGGTGTATCAGCCTAATTTTTGTTACTAGCAATTTGCATGTGTCCATCCACAATCTCCTCTACCCCACGATACACATAGGTAAAAGTATCACACACACAACTCTTTGAGAACTGTATCTAAAGAAGGAATAAATGGACCTAGGTCATAGCTGTGATCCTCAGGCCCAGTTCATAAACTATAGTGCATGTTCTTTGGCCTCCACTTTGATTGCTCAACAGCATTTTATGTCCTTTAAGGTTTCCAACTAAGTTACTTCCAGATAAATGCAGTATGAAAATAATTAGTGTAAGTGGATTACTATAAAATAGAGAAGTGTGATGGTTAATAAGTTGCTTTGTTTGGGCATGTTGGAAAATAGAGAAACGCCAGTTTGAAATCATTTTTGTTAAAAAAGATAAAGGTCATCGTGCCAAGGATTATACTCAATTTACACAAGATAGTTTTAATCCAACTAAATGTCATACAATCAGAAAACTATAAAACATATAACCTACTATTTGTTAAGTACCTAACACAGCAAGTATTGTGCCAGATACACCAACCCTTTATAACAAAGTAGGGCATTTTAAGACAGCCTTCAAGTTCAGAAATGCGCCCTTCCCAGAGCTAAGAAATGGCCATCCCATGCTTTCTAATTTGCCAAGATGTTTTTAGGCAAGATAAGTTCCATTTCCTGAACTTTTCATATTCTTTACAGATTTAAGTTTACCATTATATCTTTAAATCTAAGTTCTATGAAACATGAATCATACTCTCTATCATTTTTTATCTCTCAAGTCAGTTTTAGTGCTGAGGAACCAATTAACAGTAGATGAATGAAAAATATTATATTCTACATAGCTAAATTATAACAAGGAAACACCCTCTAAGGAAAGGCCAAACTAAGGAGCCTTGGAATTGTCAATTGTCAGTGCAAAATGCAGACAATCACAATGTATACAAAAAATAAAACATATTAATTTTAATAGCCTTGTTGGCTATAACTAACATAAAATAAACTACACATAAAGTGCTATGGCTTAGACAGCCCAAAGGCTCATGTATTGAAGAATTCTTTTCTGGTGTGGCAGTGTTAAGTGTTGGAACCTTTGGGTACTGCCCTTGTGAACGGATTCATGTTTTTCCCACAGGAAGTCTCTTGACAGTGGGTAAAGAGGGGCCACCTCACATATTTGGCCCCTCTGTACACAGTCAGTTCCCTTTCTGCTTCTGTGCTGTGTTGTAACAGAGCAGACTGAGGTATTGAGGGTCTTGCCAAGGAGAACCATGAGTAATTCTTGGACCTCCAGAACTACTTATTTTCTTTCTAAAGTACCAGACTTTGGTATTGTTACAGCAACATAAAACAAACTAATACATAAAGGGTACACTTTGATAAGTGTTGACATCAGAGTGTACCAGTGACACTATCACCGTGATGAGGCTAAGGAACACATCTATCACCCTGAGTTTTCACTTTACAATCTCTACCTCTTACAAATCCCACTCCACTCCACCCCCAGTCAGTCACTGATGCATATAGAATATATATTTTCAGGGGCAGGGAGAACAAGAGAAAGTAGTGGGGGGTAAACATGATCAAGTACATTTTATATATATATATATATACACATATATATATGTATATATATATACACACACACAAAAATTTCATTAAAAATCCACTATTTTATATAATATACACTAATGAAAAATAAAGTAAAATGTATTTTCTGTAATTTTATATAAATGGATTATGTGATTTATACTGTTGATTTTGTCTGGCTTCTGTCACCTAGCACAATTATTTTGAGGTATTCAACACTGTGATTTATGTATCCAAAACATGGATCAGAGTAAATCCTTAACGGATTGTCTCCACCTATAAACAAGCATCTGAGCTGTTTCTCTTTTGTGGCTATTTCAAAGAAAGCAGTTGTAAGTACTCATATCTAAGACTCTGTAATGGACATATGCTTTCATTTCTTTTGGGCCAATATCTAGCATGGAATGCCTGGGCAAATATCTGGCATGGAGTATCTTGGTAAGTATGTTTAAGAAAAAATGTTTTCCAAAGTGTTGTGTTTTACAGCCCCATCTGCAGAGGTCAAATTCATTCATGTTCCCACCAAACATGGTATAGGCAGTCTAAAGCTTTAGCTCTTTCAACAGGTACACAGTGGTATCTCACTGCTATGCAATTTGCATCTTCCTGATAAATAATGGTGAGAACATCTGTTCACAAGCTTGTTTGCCATCTATCTATGTCTTTTGTGGCAGACTATCTCTTTAATCTGTTGTCCACTGTTTCACTGGGTTATTTGTTTTCTTATTACTGAGTCTGGAAAGCTCTTTATATACTCTGAATATAAGTCCTTTACAAGAATGTGATTGCAGGTATTTTCTGTGTACTCTCTTGTCCTACAAATAACAATTTATTAAATTTAACACAGTCAAATTTATTAATTTTCATGGATCATACTTTTAATCTTATCAAAGAACTTATGCCTTAGCCCAATGTCACAAAGACTTTCTCCTGTTTTCTTCTAGAAGTTTTAATAGTTTTTAGAATTTATATTAAGTCTATGATGATTTAATTACTTTTTGTGTATAATGCCAGGTATGGATTGAAGTTCACATTTTGCCTGTGAATATTCAATTGTTCCAGCTCTTTTTTAAAAAAAAAAATCCTTTCCCCCCTAGATTATCTTTGTACTTTTGTCAAAAATCAATTGACAATATATGTGCATGAATTCTTGAACTCTCCACAGAGCTGATCTGTCAGTCTATTTTTATGTTACTGCCACATAGTCTTGATCACTGTAGACTAAAAATGGTCTTTAAGTTAGGTAGTAAGTCCTCCAAATTTGTCCTCTTAAAGTTGTTTAGGCCACTGTAAGTTCATTGAATTCCCATTTCAATTTCAGATTGACTTGTCCATTTCTATTTAAAAAAAAAAAGCTGCTGGAATTTTGACTGGAGTTGTGCTAGAGATCAGTTTGGGGAGAAATGGAATCTTAACAATATTGTCATGGACAGAATGTATCCCCCAAAACTCACAAACTGGAATGCTAATC